TAGGTTCCAGGGGTGCACTTTGGCCGGTACGGCACCATTCTCTGCTATGAAGAGCACAGCAGCATCTGTTGTTTCAAGTACTTGAGCAAAATCTCAGCCATGGGAGGCATTACACATGGTCTCAAACCTACTGGAGGAAACAAGGGGCAAGGGGGAGAGGGAAAATAAGAGAAGAAATGGGCCACTAAAAACATTTTTTAAGTAAAAAGATTTTAAAAATTCCAAACTCTACTGTTCCTGTATTGAATACTATGCAAACAATAATTCAGTGATATTTTTAAATTGACGATCTTCAAAACTTCACCAAGGTTTATTTGAAAATACAAAAGAAAAAATTACATTTTAGGTATAATTTTATATGAACTGGTGACACTGAAGAAACATTAAATTCCACATTACAGTTCTCTAATATGATAATGCAATAATAAATAATGGAGAATGCTACTGTTTCCGAGTTCAGGCATTTAAATTAAATGGGCACAGTTTCCTGTTGTTATTTTTGAGTTTTGTTTTCGTAGTCTAGGGTGGAAAGCCAAGGCTTCAAATACACTAGGCATTTACTGTCTCACTGAGCTACACCCTCAGCCTTGTTAAAGTTTTATTCTTTATTATCACTTATCAGTAACACAGATGTCAAAAACACTTTAAAAGGACACTCTTAAACCAATTCAGTATATGCTTTAAAAAATCATCCCAAAGGGAACACCTTCAAAATTCATCACCTGATGAATGGATTAAGAAACCAGAGTATATGTACACAATAGAATATCAGCCATAAAGAATGACTTTTTGTCATGTGCAAGAAAATGAATTGATCTGGAAAGTATCATTTGAGTAAAATAAGTCAGCCTGAAAAAGACAAATATATGTCCTCCTAATAAGTGGAATCTAAAAACAAGACACAAAAGTAGAAGGAAGAGTATTATTGGACAAAAGAAAGGGGAAAGGGGGCAGAGCCAGGGGTATTAGGGGGGTTCATTCCACTGGGGGATGAATATGACCAAATATATACATGCATTGAACTCCTACTCCCAAAAATATGAAGCTAGGGGTGAGGGCAAGGAAAAGGGGATGGCAGGGGCTGAAAATGATCAGTAGGTTATATGCATGTGCAAATCTGCCAAAATGAAACCCATTAAGTATACAACCAATATGCATTAATAACAAAAGATGTCAAACAAATGTGCAAATATACATGTTGCACACCAGGATCCAAAGCAACAATCTCAACCAGTGAAAGTAAAATAAATGTTTGGGGGGGTCTGGGGATTTAGCTCATCAACACGGTGCCTGCTCGGCAAGCGCAAGGTCATAAGTTCGATTCTCGGCCCCAAAATAAATAAATAAATAAAATGTTTGCTAAAAGCTCTAAGTACAGCAAAACATGCATGAGGTCAAAGAACCAAGTTCTTAAACATCATTTTATAATCCCATCTTTCAGCATATTCAGATACCTGATCAAAAGATTTCATGTCAGCCAGTGGTTAGGAAAGTTTCAAGACTGTGTGAAAAGTACAGACATCAGCCATGTAAAATAAATCATGAAGCTAGCATTTTTCTTTCTAATTCAACCAAAACCTAACCAAGGCACTAGCATAAGAACAGGATGTTTTTTAAAATTTTTGTTCCTTATATTATAAAGTCAATGCCATAGGGCATCTGATGGGATTAGTGACATAGAAATCAACCCAAACTAAAAAAACTCAACTATTTTTACAAACCTAAGCGGTAAATAAAGTATCAGTTTGAGTGCCAACAACATCTAATTTTTACGCCCACACAATACAAGAAAACAATGGCTATGACCTACCAACTGACATTCTAAGTTAGTCCACTTAGTAATATTCAGATTTTGCTCTTCTATCACTTAGAAATATAACTGATATAGCACCTCAAAGTAATAAGAACAGATATAATAAGATCATTATGCAAAAATTAATAACATTTGTTTTTCAATAAGGGCACAGAAAAAAGATTTATTTTTCAGAATTTTGTACATTTTATTCTTCAAAAATTTGTGCATTTTATTCCTCAAAACTGAAAGCCTCGGCTAAATCAAGAATGAAGTCTAACTGAAGGAGCAATTTTTATCTTTTCTATCTCTGTATTTAAATATTTAATCCATTTCTAAATGAATTATAATATTAATATAGACACACTTCCAAAAAATAAATTACTGTAACACTGCCTGAAATACATTCCTAATGTAATCCTCTCGGCACACAGATACTACAGAGATAGGGATCATGCCTAAGCTATCTTTAATTTCAAAGAGATGCATAACAGCTCATTATAGTACCGCACTTGCAGAAGCAATGACTGAGAATAAGTTATTCAGACAACTGAGATAAGAGGAATCAAAACTACTGTAATAATCAGGGTATCACTCTGAATCTCTCCAAGATTCAAACCTGTATGTAAATGAGGTCACCTCTGCACACGGGTAAACACTGTTTATATGGATACCTGTATCTTTCAATCTTTCTCTGTTAATTATTTTACAAATCATAAATTATAGTTGGAAGAGTTACAAATAAAAATGTGGTCGAATAATAATTAGCTCTTTTAACAGTAGCTTACAACATACTACCACAAACTATTTCAGGACATCCAAATTTCCCAAAGTCTATGGATGAACTGTATGTTACAAACCCTGATCATTCACGAACAAGTCTTACATTTTATATAGCAAAATAGAAGACTCGCCCAATGTCAAAAACCAGTAAGACAAAAAACCACAATCTCAGAGTTTTACTGACCATTAGTTAACTAGATTCCCATTCCATGTACAAATCTAGTAGATGTCCTAAAAGCATTAACAACCAGGACACACTTCTGGCATGGAACAAGAGATATAAATTTGAGCACAGTCCTAAGGTTAGCCATTCCTAGGATAAACTGCTCCCACTCAAGGCTTTATAAAGTCCAGATGGGCAAACTCATTTGTCCTCCTTTGCCTATGGTCAGTTTTGGTTACTTTTTCATTTTCCTAAGTGTGCCCTTAAGTCAGGGTGTAAGCTGCTCAGTCACATGAGTCCCAGGGATCACAGAGACTTGGCTTTGATTGCCCTGCCTCCACTCAAGTGCCAACAAATTACCCAGAAAGAGCCACAGCATGAGCTCTCCCGGGCCCATCTGGAAGGCACTTTTCTATGAATCCCCTGTAGGTATCCTTTATTTCTTGACTGCTCAGCAACCCTCCTCCTCTAGTTGCACATTATCATATAACAACACAACTGCAAATGTCCACTAAGACAGTGTCTAGAGTGCTTCCCCCACATTTAGCCTTTTAATCCCCAGGACAACTCTATGTGGCAGGTGCTGCTACAATCCCTTGTCCGTCCACAGGCATCTAAGCATGAAATATCACAGAGTTGAGGGATTGGTGGAGTGTACTGTTCAAATGCAGATATGCAGAGATACTTTTCTTAATGTTCTTTTGCCTCCACATCGACATCCAAAGATGGTTTGTTTGATTTTATCTATCATTTCTGGCTGTCTTTTAACTAGAAGATCATCAGCAATTTAGTCATTTCCTGTCCCAAGTTGACACTATAAACTGGGAGGGGCCTCAGTACTCTAAGGCAATGGCTATACCTGGAGGGTTTCAGCAACATTTTAACTTTGCGGAAGTTCTAGGGTTTGGCACAGTAGTAAAGCAAATCTCTACTCTGTCAGGATGCAAAACTGAAATGACTCCCATAAAATACAAACACTGTTCACATTTCTACAGATATTTAAAACAGGGCATTTTTTTCAATAAACATAAACATACCGAGAATATTTCCTGGACAAGGATTTATATTTTTCTTTTACTTGCGTTTGTATTTGACAGTATATAGTATGTTGAAGCAATTGACTTTTCTTTAATGGCTGATTTCAAAGTGTAATGATTAACCTAACCAGGGCTTCTCTGCAGTGGGATGCAAAAGTGAATGAAGCCACAGAGATGACGGGGAGAAGTTCACTGTCAAGGACTTGGAAGGGAGACCACGGAGAGGAGCGACGGGGAAGGAGAAGGAGACAGGGAGGGCGAGCAGGTAGACAGGCAGCAGTCAACATGGCAATATATAAAAATAAAGACTAATATGTTTTATCACTGCTACTGGAGCCAGAATTTCACCTGGATGGGTTTTACAAAAAGTATCACCACCCTTATCTGACCCCCCTACATTCTTGATCTTTTCTTCTACATAGATATTACAAAAGAAGACAGAGAATAAAAGGATAAAATCTAGAATGAGGTCAATATACTCTAGCAAATTTATTTAAATTAAACCAAGAAGCTTGAAGCCTACTGTGTTACATCCACACACACAGGTGATCATCCAAATTTCCACTGGTAAAGGAGACCACCTAAACAAGAGCTCTTACACCAAATCTCTTGAATGGATTGTTTAGAAATGGAAAACCATAAGGTCCTCACAATGCTAAGCAGTATTTGCAAGGAAAAAATAGCTGGTCAAAACAATATGCTAACAAGAGAAGGGTAAAAAGGCAACCAGGTGAAACAAAAAAAAATAAATGTTACATCCAGGAGTAGTGACTTGTTATAAGTGAAACTGCTTTACATCAAGCCATATAAGGACAATCTGGTTAAAAAGAAAGGACGTTTAACGATACACATGTATAAGTCACAGGATAGGGAGTAATGCATATAGTTTATATGAATTTAAAGGATTCAAGCTAAAAGTAAAGTCAATACAAAGAAGTCTATGGCATGTTAATTCCGTGGATTGACACGTTCAAAGTTGTCAATTTCTACCCCTTGGAAAAACTTCCAAGCAATGTCAGAAAGGACCAATTTTATGATATGAAACACAGTCTTTTCCTAATAATAATGTTAGACTGTATGAAAGAAATCCATATCCCTAAAACCCAACTAATGGTAATCAACTAATGTTATGTATTTGGTTCACAGTCAAATTCTCTATTAATTTATTAGTTTGTTACAAGAAACCTCTAGTTAAAAAAAATCCTGAAACATGTCACACACTCACCTTCATCACTCGTTGCCTGCTGCTTCACAAGAGTCATTGGGGATCTGGCTGGAGGCTTAGTAAGTGGATGGCGCCAACTCTTAGACGTTTTGGTCTCTCCTTCTATTACCTGGTTATAAAAGAAAAGATGAACTCAAATAAAAACACGTTTTAAAAGAACACTATAAATATAAGTAGTTATCATAATGATATCTTAATTACGAAGAAATATTGTGCTTATGTACATTTTAAGGAATTAGTTTTTTAAGAAACTTAGAAACTTAAAGTAAAAAAAAAAAAAAAAAACAGGAAAACATTGTGTTAGTAATTTTACAAAGCGGTCAATTAGTTCTTCTCCCACTTTATCTTAAAATATTAACCGCAAAGCAGGGTACACTTATTAAACCTGCAATAAGCTTGCTAGTTTTCAAAAGTCCTTTGAAATGAGGATAAGTTTAGAACTGTATACACATGAAACTATTAAGGACTGTGACAGTGAGTCACGTCTATGCTGTTCTCATGTGATCATTTAATAAATGATCTTGCTTTCTATCCTCACAGAGAAGGAAATTCTGCCAAGCTGAGGATACACACTTCCATTTAAAAATGAACCATTATTTCTGTCATACATACAAAGGATCAAAGAAGAAATCAAAAATGTTCATTTGTAACGACACATTGCTTTCATCTTAAAATCATTTATGTTACAAAAGTAGTGCTATTCCTACACTTCTATTAGCCACCTTTTCAAATAAATTAGACCATTTTTTCATTTGAATGTGATTTTTGACAAATATGTATTGTATAGCTCAGTGGGATACACAATCCTATGTAAAATGAAAAATTCTATTGAATCAAATCAGGACACTATATTTTATTTCAGATTTGAAGACCACTAAGAGTCAGGATTTTCAAAATTACTTTTCTTTATAATCTACTTTGCTACCAAAGATACGATAGACCTGTGCTAATTTTAAATGACAAGGAACAATACAGAGGAGGGTCTGTTCAGCATCCAGGCAGACTGCCGGCGGTACCAACTCAGGTCTCCTTACTCACCTACTTTACTAGCCTAGCCAGGCTCCTGAGCCAAAGAGGTTCTAAATGCTGATACACAGTCCTAGCTCACCTGACTCCCATTCGTATGGTAACAGGGACCATTTATGCTGAATGCATGTAACAGTAACCTGAACAAGGACAGTGAAACGGAGATGCTATCCAAACAGCTAGCATGGGGAGCCCGGAAATCTAGAGTGGTCCTGATTTGTCTGAGGCAAAGGGCCTGCTTCTGGGAGTGTGCAGGGCCAAAATAGTCATGCTGGTATTAGGACTTAAGAGTCCAATAGTAAAAAGTAAGAGGAGAAAGGGGCTGAGTGAGCCCTGAAACGGAGCATGTGGAAAGCAGAAGTGCAGAGGCAATAACTGCTGGCAGGAGGAGGGCAGAGTCCAGCATGACAGTTCGTCCCAGCCTAGTTCACACTGTGACCAAACCTTCTGTTTGACTGTATCAGTGTCAACAGCATCAGGAGTCCACACTACAGTTTTCCCAAACAGCAGTACTGGGGGAAACTGGGTGAGGGTATACAGACTCTCCATGTATTATTTCTTATAAAACCGTATTAATCTGCAATTATCACCTATTAAAGATATTTTTAAAAATATAAAATGAGAGAAAACTGAACTAGAACATATGGCCAAAATCTCTATGCTCTGAATTCACATGTTGTGAGCCAGAGCTGGATAGATGGTTACCTCTCAGACACTGAAGGAAATATGACCAAATCCAATGAATGTAAAATGTCATTTATTTGTGCCCTAAAGCAGGATTTCAGTGCTTAGCTTGCTGCCTTCAGAAAGAGTTCTCACCGTAAAATGAGTACCGTGACATGTTTTACTAAAAGAGATATTGCCACGTACACTGGGGACTTTGAAGCCATTCCGCTCTTCACTGAGGACTGCTGAGATTTCCCCGGGTTCAAGGCCACTACTGTGGCCCTCCACATCACTTTCTTCTTCCTCTGTAACCAAGCCATTACTCTCTGCCATTGAGGAACACGACTCAGGCGACTTCGGCCATGGAAGCTTAGCTGGGTCTGGTTCCTGGACCTTCAAGTGGCCACTAGGTAATGCTATGGAATCATCAGCCTCAGGAGGTACGGATGGTGTAGTTATGCCACAGGCTTTCCCACCTTCAGTTTTTATCTCCTCCATAACAGATGTACTTAAGTAGCTGTTTCCTGAGGAGTAAAATAAAAGACTATTAATAAAACTTGCATTAGGTTACTACCTAGCAGAATTGTTACACTATTCCCAACTGATTTCATTTCTTCCAACTTTTTCAACTTTCACAGACGTAAGTGGGAAAGGTCATCAAAGCACCATGCTATTTTCATAGCTGTTAAGGTGACTTTGGCAGAAGAAATTACCCAGTGACAAAAAGAAGAGATTAAGAGGTTCTTCGGGGTGTGGTGGTACATGCCTGTAATCCCAGCACTCAGAAGGCTGAGCCAGGAAGGTCACCGCAAGTACAAGGCCAGCCTGGGCTACGCAGTGAGTTCAAAACCAGCCTTAGCTACCTAGCAAGTCTGTGTCTCAGTGAATGAATGAATTTCTACTACAGACCAATACCAAAAGGCAGGGCAATTATAATAATTATCAGAGCAGTAACAATTTGAAATCTATCTAAAAATAAACTGTATCTTAATCCATGGTGCTAAGAGCTGCAACTGATGAAAAATGACAGTTCACATAAGGTCATACAGAGCTAATAAAAATTACTGTCTACATTAATCTGTATTAATACTATGCCTTTTACTGGGAACACATAACCAGAGATTACAAAGTACTTCTCTTAAAAAAAATAAAATAAATGAAACACTTCTCGCCCCTTGCATATCTATTCAACTGTCTCCTTTACACAGAAACACACACTCACGTGTGTGCATGCACACACAAACATTATTCCTACCCTAAATCTCATTCTGAGGCTAGTCAAGAATTCTACTTTAGTTTTCTTCTAGGTGAAAATGTGGAGTACAAAAGAACAAAGCTAATAAAATTAGGCACCTCAGCTTAAGTCCTCAAGCAATTCATAAAATGGTGAATTAAACCCAGTGTGTAGAAAGCACAATAAGGATGATAAAGAAATGCCCGCATGCACTGCGTGACTGACTCTGCATTTATTGCAATTCCCTTCCTTAGCTTCTTCTAGACCTTGCTATCTTCTATTTATTCTTCATAATACAATCCAGATATGGCCTATGCCAGGAAGCTTGGCTTAAGCATCTGGATCTTTCCTTGGTAGACCCCACTGTCTTCTCTACCTAGCTGCTTTCACACTGGATTGTAACCATGTGTCCATCCGTCTAGTTCTACCCTAGGTATGAAGTCATTGGAAAAAAAGTCTATAGATTAAACTCTGTTCACCAGATATTTCCAGTACAAAAGTAAGAAGGAGGCTTGAGAAGGGGCCAAGGAACAGTTCAGTTAGGACTGTGTAAGGAAGTTATCTTTAACTCTAAATCCAGTAAGAGTAACAAGGTGGTACAGATTAGACCTCGGCTCTCTTTCTAGAGGATCAGAATGACTGCCATGTGGGGAGCAGGCAGCAGGAGTGACTAACGTGGACACCGGAAAGCAGGAAGGAAGCACTTCCTCCAATAGTTCAGGCGAAGAACGGGGTGCCTCAAGTGCAGGGGACACAGGAGGGTGGGTTCAGGGTAGTGTCACAATGGAAGGAGTTACAGAATGAGGGCTGCAAGACAACGATGGGGATTACCAAGTACCTCAATTATTAAAAGGACAAAAACTCCAACAGACATTAAAGAGGCGAAGCATTAATGCAGTTTCAAGGAAATACACTATAAAAGGAGAGAAAAGGAAAGTAGCTGAGATATTTAGGTGAGCGCTTTGGCATAGAGAAATAGCCAGGACAATATTCATACTATTTCACTAGACTGACTTTTTATTTTTGTTGTTCTTTTTAAAACTTTAATCTTTATTTTCTTCTTAAAATTAAGTTGAAAGCTGAGACTCTGCAAAGAATTATCTATAATTGGTTTTCTCTGCTTCATGTGAATTCAAGAGAAGCTTTCCAAAAACGTATTGTACATTGTAAATTGAGTTGCACTAGAAAAAATTTCATTTCAGAATCTTCTTTTTTATTAAACCAAATAGACACTGCTGGCTATTTGTCTCACAATTCCATTACACATAGCGGCGGTGCCCCTGACACTTTTAACAGTCCCTAGGCCACCTGTGGTTGAATCAACCTACAAGTTTAGATAGTTACTCAAGATAAGCTGGCTGGGTTAGTAAGACAGCTATCCTAGTGAACACAGACTTAAGGCATCAGATCATTAACCACCCACTACCACTTACAGGTGAAACCCAATCAGAGATTTTCTCACCTGAGAGTGTGATGCCACCCAATAAATTTGGATGCACCCGTGTTGTGCCAGCAGCGGCCTCTTTGGGAGGGGCTTCTGTGCTCCCCAGCTTTGCTGCTTTTTCTGGCTGTTTGCTAACCTTGAGGACCTCTGTGCCAGGGTGAGGGTGAGGGACCTCTACCCCATCAACTTCAGCTGACACTTCATCATCCTCAGCCTTAGGCCTCTTAGGGTGAGACCTGGATCCTTGGAAGCTATTAACAAGAGAAATGGTGGTCAGAGCAGGAGGGTTCCAATGGAGACAAAAAACCACAAATACAAGCAGTATTGTTCATTTGCTTACTACTGAAAGGTTTTTAATCACTATGCAAAGACAATCTTTACAATTAATAGATTAAACCTGAAATACAAATCTTAGAAGTTTTAAGACCAATTAACTAAAAATTATATTTCAAACAACTGGAAATAACTGACTACACATCAATGTGAAAACAGAGTTGGTGTTAAAAATGTATAAGAAAACTCACAGGGCAGAAATCACAAAAATGTACTGTGTATTTCAAAAAGTTAGAAGCAAGGATTCTGGATGTTTCATCATAAAGAAACAGTTATGTGTGAGGGGAGACAGGTATAATCACCCTGACCTGACATTATGCAATGTGCACATGTCAAAACATCACCATCCCCCACCAATATGCATAATTTTATTTTTCTCTATCAGTTAAAAACAAATTTAAAATAATCAATTTTCAACAAAAGTTTGAAAACAAAAACAAAGAAAAAATAGTGGCACTGGGAACAATTAAATTAATATATAAAATATTATTTTGTTTCAAAAGGAAAACCAGAATGTCTATTAAAAAGTTATTAAAATCTGAGTAAATTATTTACATTTCAAGGTGAGCTAGTAAATAATTCTCGGGCATGCAAGAAAATAGCTTATATTAAATTCCAAGTGAATAGGTAAAGGAACTAACACAGGAAGAAGACTAAGTATATATATTTAATTCTTATGCCAACTTATTGTTTTCTGAGCAAACACTAATATTTATTTCCCTCCTGCTCCACTATTTGCCAGCAAGACTAATAGCTCTTTCACATAAGTTTTTTGTATATGACACAACATTTCTAACAATTAGGAACAATTACAAGCCAACCCAAAGCAACAGTGTCCATAACATACATACATACATACACACACGCACACATGCACGCATGCACGCACACACTATACACAAGAAAACACCACAGGCTGACCAGTGCAGGAAGCTAAGGAGGGCAGAGATAAGAGATAAAGGAGTAGCCAGGGACACCCAGGGAAACTTCGCTGTGGCTGCTACAGATGGCAGTAACAGTAGTGGTACCATTATTACCACCTTCCTATTTGTTCAGAACCCAGGCAGTGGCCAGTGTGGAAAATTTCCACAGAATGAGCAGTGCAGTACATGTAAATTAAGGTAGCTGACATCTCCCCGAGATTCTGAGGAATCACTTAACTTGTTGGTCTTCCCTAAATAAGATATTATTGGAGGAAGATCAGAAATTTCTTTGAGCCACAGCTAAGCACCTTAACATTACGTTTTCTGTCTAGGTGAGCAAAGCCCATTGATTATTTTAACCTACTGAAAGACATTTTCAATTTGTTCAGTATCACAGATCTATGCTATCAACTGAAAAGGTTCACTGTGATTAATGCAGGAAATAATATATACATCTAACTGGAGCATTATACTTTCTGTGCACTAAAGAACAGTTCTCAAGTTGTTCTCCTGGTGTGGCTCTGAGTTCAAAACTGAACAATGCCTCCTTCCAAAGATGGCTTTCTTGGTAATGTAGATTAACACATTTTTCAAAGGCACTGATTCTGTAAATTAGTATTTCTTAAACTCTGTTTGTATGCTCCCATAGTAAGTTATACAAGTTAGATAATGACACAATGTACACACACACATACACAGGTATCAGGTTAATACTTACCATTACCATAGGGGAAGCACTAGGATACTTTTTACTCTATATTAATTCCTAACCTGAAAATGTAGTCCTGACTCACTCAGTTAATTTGAAAACTAGCACTTTGAAAGTCACTGCTGTACACTGCAGGGTGAAACAACACCTGAATTTTAGATCCACTCCTGCCTAGTTCTGTGCCTCAGGCATATCCCTTATAAAGTGAGGAATTTTGACTCCATGTTCTTAAGATTCATCTGCTCACTATCATTCTAAAATAGCAGAAAATAAACATCAGGAGAAAAAGAAAGTCAGAAAGTAAGCATTAGAAGCGTGGGCAAAAATTTAAAATCACAGTGTTATTTAGTAAATAGCAAAAAAGTTGAAACAGGCTACAGGTCCAAATCACAGGAGACTAGTTAAGTACATGTAGGCATTAAAAATTATGTTGTAGAAATCATTTAATTACATGAAAAATCACTCACATGACTGGTCTTCATATTGTTAATAGAGCATGGCCCCAATTTGAAAAGTTACATAATATTATATAATATGTAATAAATATATAGGTAAAGGATATACATAAAATGTTAAGACTGGTTATCTCTGGATAGTGAGGTTATGGGTGATTTAGGATTCCTTCATTATTCTTTTCCTTATTTTACAAATTTTCTCCAATGCTCAAATATTACTTTTACAATCTGAAAGAAAAACAATGAGGAATATTGAAGAGGAAAATTTAATATAAAAGTGAAAAATATAAGAGCTAAATGGTAGCCTAAGGACCTGAGCAATACAACACACACCCTATGCAGTGTGTTTTAAAACAGCAAGATACCCACAGCAAAGCTAAGCTTTTGAAATGGCCCTGGTCACAAAAATGGAATGGAGAATAAAGCCCGTAAGGACAATCATGTTATAGAAGCATTTTTCCTTTATATCCAAAAAAAAAAATAAAACCAAGTGTATAAAATGAAGGAAAATGTAAGCATCCAAATGAGAAAAATAATGCCTCAGATGTTTGACAAACGAAAAAGATAAAGACTAAAGTCAGAAAGAAAATTAATAGCAAAATTAAGAAGTTAGTGAAGTTGATTAAAACATGGAGATGAATGGGAAGGACCAATATAACTTGTAATTACATGAATGTAAGGAGTCTAAAAGGTTCCATTTTGTTCTATTTGCTATGTACACTGACATCAGGAATATTTGCAAATAGAATAAATACCTCTTCCTACATACTATTACACATCCTAAGAATAAAAAATACTTCACCTCAATTTTCCAGGAAGATACTAACCAAACTTATGATAAATACATATGGAAAAAATGGCCCTTGATAATATCATGTTCAATGACCCATTTTAATTGAGCAAATGCCGCAAGTAGGATGGAGCTGGGGGTCATTACCTTTTGGATCCTTTTCTTACTTTCCTTCTCCTTTGCAGCCATGCTTTTACTTCCGGGGTAGATTCCGGAGTAGGCTTCGTGTGATCGATGGTGTATATATCCTTCCCTTGTTTCCAAAGGTGGTATCGGTCGGGCTGAAATTTCCTCACAAAGATATCCATTGAAATTTTCACCATGTCTTTCCTGCAAGTGCACTGAAATATAATAGACCAATTCTAATGAAATTTGCAATGAAACATTTCACTGGTTATAAAAAGTCACATGGAGTCAGCCCTTGAATATAGTACATGTGAATATTTAGGCACTGCAACACGAAGCATAACATTTTAATTTTCAAATATTCAGTATATGATAAACCAAACTTCTTTAAAAAGAAAAATTACACATTCACATTTACATTTATTCATAGGGAACTGTGTACTAGGAAAAACTGGAAAGAGGGTACATGTGAAAGCTTGCTTGTGACAGGGTAATTACCCAGCCCTAACAGGATGCATCAATGAACTGAATGCCAAATGCCAAATGCGGCATTTGCTCAATTAAAATGGGTCATTGAACATGATATTATCAAGGGCCATTTTTTCCATATGTATTTATCATAAGTTTGGTTAGTATCTTCCTGGAAAATTGAGGTGAAGTATTTTTTATTCTTAGGATGTGTAATAGTATGTAGGAAGAGGTATTTATTCTATTTGCAAATATTCCTTCTATGAAGCCGAAAACTTGTTGCTATCGTTGGGTACATACTGGGTATCTCCCCAAATCTCGACGGTGGTTAAAGGCTTGGTCCTCTGGGTGACACAGTTGGTAAGTGGTAAAACCTGCAGGTGTGAAGTCAGGCGCAGCCTTATGTCATTGGGGACATGATGTATTTCTTGTGGGACACTATGACAGTTCTCAAAAGAAAATCATCCAAAAGGAAGCAGCAAGCATATCCCCTCTGTCTTCTTTCTCTTTGCTCCTCTTGAAGATGTTTGTTCCTATACGTGCTCCCACCATGTTCTAATGCCATCCACTACCATCACAGAGACCAAACAAATAAGGGCTGCACATTATTGGGACTCTGATCCTGCAAAACTATGAGCTGAATAAACCCTTTTGCAGTCTAAGTTAGCTGCCCAGATATTTCACTGTAGTAAGCTAATACGCCTGGGTTGTTTAATAAATACAAAGGGGTGGAGGGGAAAGCCCATGAATGTGGCTCCCTTCCTCCCTCGTAGGCACCTGGAGGGAGGGCCTCTGGCACACGGGGAACCATGAGCTGGGAGCGCCGGTCTTCCGGCTGACTTGCTTCCTGCCTCGTAGGCGCCCTGAGGGAGGGCGTCCCCTGCACAGAGAGCCATGGGCGGGGAGCACCGGTCTTCCGACTGGCTCGCTTCCTGCCTTGTAGGTCCCTGGAGGGAGGGCCTCCAGCACACGGGGAGCCATGAGCTGGGAGCGCTGATCTTCCGACTGGCTCGCTCCCTGCCTCATAGGCGCCCTGAGGGAGGGCCTCCTGTGCACAGGGAGCCACGGGCGGGAAGCACTGGTCTTCCAACTGGCTCGCTTCCTGCCTCGTAGGCGCCCGGAGGGAGGGCCTCTGGCGCCCGGGGACCCACGGGCGGGGAGAGCGGATCTTCTGACTGGCTTGCTTCCTGCCTCGTAGGCGGGAGGAGGGAGGGCTGGAAGGAGGGCCCCCGCCACAAGCGAAGCCACGAGGTGGCGAGCACTGTTGTGCGCCGGCCCTCAGGCCGGCCACCGCCACTCAATTGAGAACTACCACAACACAGAGAAACAATGACACAACTGGCCCACCATGCACTGGCTGCAGTTGCCCACCCACGGATGTGTGTGAACCATTCAAACGTGGAGAAACCCCTGGGAATACGTGCCATACAGCGGGCCACTCTTGCTCCTGCCATTGACAACCAGAAATGTCCAGAGTCAGGGGAGGAGCAGCTGCTGAACAAGGACTCGGAGAACATGAGAATGCAGACTAAGCCCGAGGAGTCAGAGGTCTTGTGGACTGGGGTCACGAGAGCCTCTTGGAAGCTGTGAACCAGAAGGACCTTGCACAATACCTGAGGAGAAGCCCTGGAAGCCATTCTTCCCCTGACAGTGCAGGCTGTGGCGGAGCTCTGGAGAAGTCTGCAGCAGGATTCCTGCTGCCTCCTGCTGCCTGTGCTGACAGTTGGGGAGAGGACACTAACCGGTTGTGGGGTCCCAATGCGATAGGAGGCTGAAGAGAAAACGCTACAAAAAATGGATTTTGACTCAGACGGCTCACTTGATTTTTGACAACCCTTAGGCTGTAACTACTTAGATCCTTCTTGTGTATCTCTGTCTTCCTGAGAAACCACTTTGAAGATACCACCATGTATTACAGCAGCCATTGATATTTTCCTACTAGTCTGTCCATAACTCTGCAATGTCTGTATTGTTCCTATCCTATTTCATGAATGGATGCATGTCTATCATCTTGTGTTTCCTACAACAACCACTGAGAAAAGTTAATGATTATTCAATAGGCCACTCATGTATAGCTCTGTTTATTTTCTTTAGAAGCCACTTTGAAGATACCAAAGTAGAGTACAACAACCATTGATAATCTCCTCTTTTGTCTGTAACTCACTATTATTTGTCTATTTGTTTTCCTGAGAAACTATCTTGTAGATAACAATATGTGAAACAATAACTGTTGATAATTTCCTACCACTTTGTCTGTAATTTGGTAAGCCCCCCCATTATTATGTTATCCTTCTTTTACTCTTTAAAATAAAAAAAATTTTAAAAATTTTAAAAAGCCCATGAATGTGATTAGTACAATTTACCCAATAAATTGATATAAATTTTCTCTAAGCTATATTTTAATTAAATTTCTATTTATTAACAAACTTTCACAGGTAATAGAAAGTTAGGAACAAGTAAACAACCTTTTCTATATCATATTAAATACAACAACAACAATATAGTAAAAATATCCAGTAAGAGAAAGAGGGTTATGGTGAGAAGTTAAAAGAAAAGGTTATTTTGAAACCAAAATGACCCTGGTTCTCACAAATACATAGTTATTAATAAAACAAATTCCCTATAAAGACTCCATACCAACTTAACTAGGTCTAAGCTATCACTATGCCTCAAGGCAGATATTCAACTGGTAGTACATAAATGACAATAATCCTTTGCACACCCAGTTAAACGAGAAGCTTCTCAGTAATTAAGATATAATTATCATCTCCACAAAAATTCCAAAATATTAAACTCCTGTCTCCATCTCCCCTTCATAGATTTAATAAGAATACCCAAACTTTATTAAGTATATTGGGCATATGGAACACAGATCCAACCAACCACCTCAGTGGAAACCAAAAGCTACCCAAGAAAGAGGGGTGGAGGATGGATCCTTCTATTTGGTGCCTTGAAGGATCATAAATTGCACAGAGGACTGACTAAGATTTAGAGAATGGTATACAAGCAACACACATAAAATTAACTTTTTGAGTGCAAACAGACATTCCATTACAATCAATGATAATAGTATGATTATTCCACTTCTCTACAGGCACAATCAGTGTTTTCCAGTTCTTTCACCACCAAAAATTCAACATGTCACTAGGTCAAGTTGATTCTTCCTCTGAAATGTGTCCTGCATCAAGTCCTTCTATCCCTACTGCTAACCTTAGCAAAACACACTTCCTGCCTGTAGCCTCTCCTAGCACCAGTGCATCTTTATAGCCATTACTTTATTAATTATTTTATTTTGGATCTTATTTACTATTTTAGTTTCTTACACAAGGGAGATAATAAGATGTTTACACCTTCAAGTCTGATTATTTCACTTATGAGTATGGTCTCTAGTTGTATCCGTTTACCTATAAAATCCTCAAGTTTATCTTTAAAAAAAGTAATGATGCACCATCCATCTGCAGAACACCTAAGCCTTCCCCTGGACAGTCTGCAGAGAGCACAAAAGTCTCCCTTTGTCAAAGTTCATAGTAATGCACTTGAAGATGGGGAGGGGCTTGTCTGAGAAGAGATAGAGAAAAGTCCTGATAGTCCAGGCTCATTCTCACACACTTGAAGAATAATGTTTTAAATTTTTCCTTAAAAGTATACCACCAGAAATTGATTTCTTATGCTAATTCTAATGAATTACTACTGTGAGCTTTTTCAGGTACTCTGCAATATTTGATCTTCCCCAATGACCCTGTTTTTAAACCACGAAAGCATGTATGATATTCATCTTATTAAGAAGTGTATTAGAAGTACATGGAAAATAAAAGACCCTTAGAAATATTTGTTACATACATAACTTTTTATAAAAAAACAAAGACCAGAAATTTTAAATTACAAATTCATACAACTAGTAAGTATGCCAGATTCAAATGTAGAACATACATATTCTTTTTCACTCTACTGTGAAAATTCCAAACCATGTTCAATATATTCAAATTGCTTTTTAATTGAAATGGGGACCATATATTCCATATTAAATTTCTTTATCTAGGACCCACACCCAGATTGAAATCTGAGCACAGAATAAATGTCTGGGGCTTATTATTTTTGCTTTCTCTGTGTGCAGTCATGCCTATTGACAGTCTGTGCAGTACAGCTAACAATTTTCCAAAATAAGTTTCCTCCTTCTTCCTATTTCTAATAGGTTCAGATTAATTTCTTCTGAATATTTTCAGTCTTCATGGTGCCAGGATATGTCTGCCTTATAAAGTAAGGCAATTATAAAGCAATTTAAGGTATGGGACTAGAAACTCAATCTTTGTGACCCATGAGAACACTGTTCAAACAGACAAAGAAAAACTGTGCAGAAAGAGGAGGAATGGATTTAAATAGTTTGCTCTAGGGATCTCCAAAATATTCTGCAGAAATTATTCAGCTTCTCAACACTTACCTGAATATCTGATAGGAAGGTTAAGGAAGTTCAGAGTTACAGATATTAAACAATCCACTCCTGCTGTGCCATGTAAAACATAGCATGAAATTGAACTCTTTAGTATTCAGGGGCAGATGAAGTTATTTTGTTCTGAAATCATGCACTCCTTATCACAGATGATATGGATGATAAATTTGGGCAAGATCAGATAAAAATAGGGCTGCGTATACTTGTAGAATAAAGATAAATATTTTTCATCAGAGTCTATAAGATCATGTACAAGAGCACAAAGAAACTGCATGCAGACATATACATATAATTCTAAAA